GAAGAGAGAATGGAAAAAGAGGAAAAACCTAACTAAAACAAATCAAAATCAATCACTTTGCAATCACTCTAACTCTAGGGTTAAGCCTAACTCAACTAGACTATCTCCTAACCAAAAGCTCCTAAAGTAAAAAGATTAAAGTTTTATCCGGGTAGTTAGCCAGGTAAGGATAGTACTAAAGGGTGATCAGAGATCAATTAAGTATCTCGTTCCTTGTGGAGCGTTTTATGCAACCCCTAAACATTGCCTTAGACACCAACTAATCCAAGAAAACTTAAACCGGTTCACTTAAGGATTCTTTGTTCCTTATTGAGCTCGAATCCTTAGGGCTAACATCTAATGAGTTTTATTAGGCTTGGGTGGTGTAGTGAGGAATTAATGATTTTTGGACTAAGGAAACGGTGATGAAATCCCTCACCTTATCTTGATTATGGGGTATTGCCCTTAAAAATATTTTTAAGTGTGTGCCAAATCAAGATGCTCAAATCACTTGGTAAATTCCTACTAACAATATGAAATGTAACCCTATGAATTAAAAGCAACTAAAAAGGATGGTAAAAAGAAAATCTTTTTTTTAATTAGGGTTAACAATCAAACAAATGAGAAGGGGGAAACTATTTGAATTTATTATCTTGTTAGTAAATGTCAAAGTGGAGGGTGAATTTTATTATGGTCAACGAAAATAAAATTTTTTTTAAGTCCTAATTGTCTCTAATTGTGAAGAAGTAGCGAAAGGGTAGATAAAAATTCTAGAAAAAAGAGTTGCCTACAAGCAAATCTTCAAATCCTAGTTCTCCAATCCGCGATCTTCAAGCTCCAAGTGTCTCCTTCACAATAAACACACAAGTTAAAGAACCAAAATAATTAAAACCTACTTAAGCACCTTCCCCGACAACGGCGCTAAAAACTTGATGCGGCATAAACATTACCAAAAATATTGCAAGTGCACAACCATGTCAAGTTATAGTATAAAGATATCGATCCCACAAGGAAGGTATTTTGTAGGAGAAAATATAAAATCGGTTCTTATGTTGTGTGCGTGACAAATAGGAGTGATGAGTGAATGTGATTGTGGAGAGATGGAGAGAATGAAAATGATTATGTAAATGAATATATTTGAGAGTGGAAGTGATAATATAAATATGATCAACAAGGCAAGAAGGAAAAATCAAGAACAAATAAAAATCAAGAATGAAAAATAAAATTCAAGAAAGTAAAGATGGTGGATTCAATTAAAGATATGGGTGGTGATCTAAAATTGAACTCACTTCTTAGAAAAAGGTGATTCCCTAAGAGGGTTCTAGCCTAAAAACGAATTAAAAAAAATAAAAATAAACGAATAGAAAAAATAAACGAATAGAAAAAATAAACGAAAAGAAAAACTAAACCCAAGAGGGTTCTAGCCTCAAGGTGAATATTACAAGAAATTTAAATCTAACTACAAAATAAATTATAAAATCTAAACTACAAAATAAATTATAAGAATTAAATACAAGAAAATAAATCTACTCTATAAGCATAAAATAAATCTAATCTATAAGCATTAAATAAATCTAAGGCAAGAGGGTTCTAGCCTCTTGGCTATTTAACAAGAAAATAAAATCTAACTACAAGCATAGAAATAAATCTAAACTAATAAACAATAAAAGAGAAATAAAAGAGAAAATAAGAAAAACAAACCTTCAAATTAATCTTCATCTTCATCATCCAACAAAGAGAAAAAAAAATTAAAGTGGTGAAAAAGTTATTTTACTAATTGTAACAAAAGTTACAAATTTGGAAGACCTTCTCAATTAAGAGTAGCCCTCCTCTCCAAATGGAGTTACAAATATTTTCACACCTCTAACCCCTCACTCTCAATCCCTATTTATAGTAAACATCAGTGAATGAGAGCCCTTGGATCAAACTTGAGCCCCAAGAATGCAATTTCGGCCGTTGATGAAATTTGGATGACTTCACATCGATACAGGCATCGATGCCCGCATCGATGTGTGCATAAATGCTAGCATTGATGTGCTAATAAAAACTCTGACTTCACGGTTGGCTTCGTCTCGTCAAGATAGGCGATTTTTATATATTATATGTTAAATTCCGCCTTCCGGATTAGGAGATATCGTCGTTTCTTTGCGGCCAACTATCTTGAATATATTTTTTCATATTTAATTTTTTTATTTTCTCTGGCTTCTACAGGCTACTCAGCTTGATTCTGGGCTTTAGATTTTTGGCTCTTGCTTGTGTTCTTCATTTAATTTATGGGTTTTTGTTTAGATAAGAGATCTTGGGCTTTATTCTTTATTAACCTGCAATTAAAGATAAAAACAACTATAAATGGCATATTTATTCATATAAAATAGATAATGAGGGTATAAAATTATAATAAAATATGATTATCAAAACTCCAACATGATCCTATTCTCAGAGCCGCTCTCTTCCAATCTCTTCGTCCTTGCTGTCATCACTCTCTCTTCATCCACTAGTAGAAAAATGAGCAAACTAGACGGAGAAAACTATACAGAAATATTTTCCGTCTAGTTTGAGGCAAACTAGAAAATTTTTTTGTCTAGCTTGCTCCGTCTAGTTTGAGGCAATATGGATGGAAATTTCCGTCTAGATTGCTAAATTAGATGAAAGGATTATTTTTTTAAAAAAAATCAGTCATCCTAGACGGAAATTCCGTCTAGGATTTCCACCTAGGATGCAGAAATTTCGTCTAGAATGCAACCTAGATGAAATTTTCGTCTAGGTTGCCAAAAAAACTAGCCTTTCCCCACACCTTGGGTCTAGCTCATCAATCCCCACCTCAGCAAGTGCAACCCGCTCATCCCATGAATCTCGACCGTCCAGCTCAAAATGCAGCCTAACGGTCACAAGCCGTCCAACACATCGATCCACGACTCCAGCATCCCTCAAATCAAAATCAATCCCCTTCCTCTATAAAATACTAACCTCTCAAGCCTCATTCTCTCCTAATCTCAAGCGACCGAAATACCCTTGCTCCCTTTACCCTAATAGATCTATCGAACCCTAAAAACTCAGCCCCCCTATTCTTAATCTCAAATAGCGCCCAAGGCGAAGAAGAAGCCTGCCAAGAAGAAGCCCACAGTGGAGAAGCTGGAGGAGGAGCCCAAGGAGGAGAAGAAGGCGGAGAAAAAGAAGGAGAAGGCTCCCGCCGGCAAGAAGCTAGCCTAAGAGGCCTCCCGCCTAGCCCGCTACAACAAGAAGCCCACCATCACCTCCCTCGAGATCCAGACCTCCTTCAGCCTCGTCCTCCCCGACGATCTTGTCAAGTACGTCGTCTCAGAGGGCACCAAGGTCATCACCAAGTTCACCAGCTCTTAGACACTAGGCTAGTCTAGGGTCTCGTTTTTAGTAATAAGCTAGGAAAGTGATATAATAGACGAGTATCTTTCAACTACTGTTAATCAATTTCAACTATTGAAATTTTCACAAATTTAGGATCATGATTATTTTTATTGTGCAGTAATCTGCTTAAATCAAAGACAGCTAGCTGATTTGCAAATAAATTTGTACTTGTCTTGTGGGCACCAAGAAGTTGACAGCTTCTCGAGATTTATATATTGAAAGATCATGACTGTATTTAGCATGTTGCTTCAACTTTTGTCTGCGGATCTCAAAGACATTCCGTTTAGGTTGCTTTCTAGATGGATTTTAGTTATCCGTCTATGTTGTGTTCCGTCTAGTTTGATCAACCTAGACGGATTTTCGTCTAGTTTGCCTCAAACTAGACAGATCGAATTATCCTAGACGATCCTTTCTAGACGGATTTTTGTCTAGGTTGATCAACCAAGACGGAAATCTAAGCAATCTAGACGGGTTTTTTTCGTCTAGGTTGCATGTTTTTCTACTAGTTTTTCTACTAGTGATCGCTGCAGCCACCTGCAGCCCACCACGCTTCGCGGCGCAGCCCAGCACGAACTGCCGCCCCTCACTCTTCCTCTCTCTTCATTGTTGCCGCATGCTGTAGTCGACCCATCCCACCTCCACTGCCGCCCGCAACCCATGCCCCCTGCCAACGCCGCTGCCACCTACAACCCATGCACTCCACAACTGTCCTCACTATTTGTCGCTTTCACCTGTTGTAGGCCAAACACCCCTCCACCACCACTGCTACTTGCAACTCACGTGTTCCACCACCACCGTCACCGAGCTCCCTAACCCCTAGGTAATTTGAAGCCCTTTTTTTGTTATTTTTACTCACATTATCTATATATGTTTACTTTTTTTTTCAAATTATAGGGTTTGAGTTGATGTTGATTTTGTGAAATTTGGAGAAATAAATCTTAATTTGTTGATGAATCCAAATTTTAGCCCCAAAACAGCCAACGCCGATGCCTCTCCTCCTTCCTAGTCTTGAAAAGATGTAAATTTATTTTCAAATTAATGATGTTGTAATTTGAATATAGAGTTGATCATAGTGGCATGTTCTCTTAACTTTTTATACCAAGTTATAGAACATGGGTTCATGTGTGCGGAGCTTTGTTATAAACAATTTATATTATCTATACCATTAAATGTGGTTATTTTTTTGCACCTTGTCTCAAAATTTCTTTCTATATTTAGGATTAGTGAGAAGAAATTAGTTCAGAGAAATTTGGTTTTTCAAAATTTTTAAGTGGAATTCAAAATTTTCTTTTCCCCTATGTCTCGAAGGGGATATTTACTAGTATAAACATAAGGACGAGAAATTGCATTAAAATTTTATAACTTTAACTCGAATTACCTTTATTCAAATGATCGGATATACAAAGATACAATATATAATATATATATATATATATAATATATATATATAATATAATATATATATATATATATATATATTATATATATATATAAATATATATATATATATATATACACCATATATGCATATATAGTACACACATATATGATATATACACACACACACACATATATATATATAATATAATATAATATATATAATATATATATATATATATACACACCACACCCTTCTGTAATATATGCAATTGCACAAACCTGGTAAGAATCAAACTACACTATTGTGTTTCTTCTTGTAAACATAAGCCGACGCCAAAAACGGATAAACCAACACCCCAAGAGCGCTAAATCCAGCAAGAAGCCAATAGAAATAATCAAGATGAGCACGGTTCAAATTGTTCGAAAACCAACTCTCTCCATTCTTCTCAGTTACTCCATCAATTATCGACACGAGAAAACTGCTAATGAAGCTCCCAATGCCAAAAATGCTGAGGTAAAGCGCTAGTCCCAGGCTCCTCAATCCATCGGGAAGCTGATCATAGAAAAACTCTTGAAGCCCGACCACCGTGAATACATCAGCGACACCAAATAGAACATACTGAGGTACGAGCCACCACAAGCTCATCGGTACAGGTTCTTTAGGCTTATTAATCAAACTGAGATTTCTCACAATCTTAAGCCTCTTTTTCTCCACCAATGCTGCTATTATCATGGACATTGTTGAGATGAGCATGCCAACGCCTATTCTTTGGAGAACGGTGATGCCTGATGGTAGTTTCGTAAATTTTCGTGATATTGGAATGAGGACTCGGTCGTAGATGGGGATGAAGACGATTATGGAGACGCCGATGAAGCTCTGGAGGGCTGCAGGCGGGACTTTAAAGTGTGGACCGATTCTTCGATCGAGGGTGCTGCCTTGTTTGGTGAATAGAGTCGAGGACTGGGCGAAGACTGTTGCATAGATCAAGCAACTTGCCCAGATTGGGATGAGTCGAATGACTTCCTTGGCTTCTTGGACTAACGCATCGTTAGCTATGCCTGCAGCTTTGTTGGACCTGCACAACTGAAGGTTAGAACTTGAAGGGAAAAGATTCTAATTGTTTCTAGCGTGCCAGTATTAATGAAACAATTTTGTGCGCACAAGTTTCTGTCCGTACCAAATTTTTGGGCTATATATATAACGGAATTGATTTTATCTTTGGTCCACGGTTTTTCTAAAGAACAAATTAGTAACAGCCGTGGCGTCATATCTCTAATTTTTCACTTCAATTGTCCAAGATTACATCACAAAGTCTAATGTCTCGTGTGTTAAAAACATGAAGAAACTAAGAAGAAAACCCCGCTCAATCCCAAGAAAATCACCCTTTTATTATTTTATTATTTGCATTAATTTTTATGACAGGGGTATTTTCTCATTTTCTTAACAGTGTTACTTTAAGAGATCAAAATGAACAATCTTCAATGGGTTTGGTGAAATGAAACAAAGTCCAGGCGTTTTGAGCAAAACCCCCAAAGTTAAGGGGGTTTTGTAGAATTAAAATCGTTAAGGGGAGTTATTACTAAAATGGCAAACTTAAGAGGGATTTTGTGAAATTTTCTCTTAAATTTGTATTGATTCTTGAGCTCTTGTTTAGTGCTCCAAAAGAAAGAGAATTATCATAATTTTTTATAAATAAAAAAAATTAGTAAAGCCGTCGTTTTGAGGGAATAAATTTTGTAAGACATCTTATATTTATTCTATTACAACATTTACGCTAGGAAATTATGGCAGATTAATTTCCTTTATTCATGTATAATTTTTTAGGATTAATTGTACACAGACTCCCTTTCATATCACCCGATTATGAATAGACCCGTTGTAGGTCTATTTTCGTGAATAGAACCCCTGAGTTTTTTTTTCTTTTACGCTTAAAATCATTAGAAAGATTTGCTTAGAAAGGTTTGCAGAGGCGGGTAGACCTCTTGTAGTTCTATTGGCGATGATAGACCCTCAATTGCTTTTTTTTTTTGAATTTTAATAGAGTCGAAAATGTTCATTATGGGGATGTATTCGCGCACATGGGCCAATACTATGGGGGTCTATTCGTCACAAATAGAACTATATAAGGGGGCAGGTCTATTCATACAATTGGGTGATATTGATGGGGGTCTATTCGCAATTAACGCAATTTTTTTTGTCTGACAAGGATCTAACTCGTGTCCTTATAAAGACAGAAGTTTATAAAGGAACTGACACTTACTCAGGATTTCTTCGACTCGAACCCCACCAGGAGGCTCTCCAACTTCTTACCAGAGCAACAAAGGCTCTTCCAACTCTGCCAAAAGGATTTTCCTCTTCCAGTAGATAATATCGATAAGTCCTTGTCCCCATCAAGAACACAACCAAAGCAACCACCATTAGAATGCACGGGATCCCAAACCCAAGCCCCCAACTTACGTTATCCTGAACATAACTCAATGTCAATAAAGAAGCAATAATACCAACATTCATCCCAAAGTACCACCAATTGAAGAAGGAGCTTCTGGCTTCAGACTCGTCCGGATCATCATCATCGAACTGGTCCGCGCCGAACGCTTGCGTGCAGGGCTTGTGACCGCCTTGAGCAAAGGCTACTAAGTACAGGGAGAAGTAGAAGAAGATGAGTTGGGAATGGGTGTGCAGGTTTGTTAGGATGGTTGACAGTGTTAACATGCCAAGACCCTGCAGATCAGAAAAATTATTTCAAGGGTTAGTTGATAGTTCCACACATTTTCAGGATATTTCCGGGTAAAAACAAGCTTTACTTGAAAAAGGAGAAAACAAAAGTTTTTGAGGATCAAGCTAAGTGTCTTTTGGATAAGTTTCACAAAACAATTGCGATTAGAGAATTATCATGAACTTTTTCACTAACTAGCATATATGATGGATTCAGATCCTCTCCACTATTGAAAATTAGTCGAATGATCAGTACTTTTATCATAGCCACTGTTTTAAAAAACCTTCGCCTAGTCCGTTTAGGCGTACGCCTAGGCCTAGGCGGTATATAGGCCGCCTAACTAACGCCTAGCGCCTAGGCGGTATTTAGGCTGCCCACCTAGATTTTACGAGCGTTTAGGGGAGCATTGTCTGCTTACGTGGATTGCACCCTGTAGGTCTTGATTGTGATTTTATGTGTCGTAGCCTACACGTCCTCCAAACTCCATTAACCTCCAAATATGAACACCTCAACTACCTCCTCCGACCTTCAACAAAACCTCATCGATCACCATTTAAATGAAGAAAGAAAAAAAAAACGTCTCGAAACCGCTTAGGCATCCGCTTAGGCGACTAAGCGCTGGGCGCCAAGTCCGACGCCTAGAAGCGCCCAGCGTTTAATGTAACATTGATCATAGTCGTTGATTTTTTTTAAATATGAATTTGGAATGAGTGCAAGTTATGAAGATATGGTGAGTGCAAGATTTAAAATTAATCATAATTACCCACCAGACCTACTTCACAGCTATAAATAATGATAAAAAAAGTAGAGATCCTTCAACTTTTTGACAGTGAAGAAGAAATATCCAAATCCCGCGTAGGATGGCAATTAGGATTCCTTAACCCGTGTTCTAGACACGTTTACCGGCCCTCTTCTCCTCTCCTATTTTAAGGAAGTTCAAAATTTTTATTGATCCAGTTCTTAAAGGAAAACGTTATGTCTTTCCTATTACATAAATAAGATATTAAGAAGTATGTTGTCCAATGTATTATTATAAATTAGAACATAATATCTATGTTGTTATTAAATACTTAAAATTGACTTTCATGTAGTACAGATAACCTAAACTAGAACATGTACAGACGAAGAAGGTTTACGTTAAAAGGTATATTAGAAAAGAAATGATAGGGGCACACACTTGTACACACCACCAACCACACTCCCCCTCTATCTACAGTGCAGGGGCCCCACATATGATTTTTTAAAAAAAAATCACATGTGGGGCCCCTGCACTGTAGATAGAGGGGGAGTGTGGTTGGTGGTGTGCTCAAGGGTGTGTCCCTAACACCCCTCATATTAGAACATATCAATGTGAATATTTTAGATTAATTAAGTGGGCTATCATTCTTAACTTAGCCAACCCTAAGGTCCTAACCCTCAACCCTAGTAGCCTGACACTAATAGTTGGTAATCATTGCCATCTTACAACTGCAACCTGACCCTATACTCCTATATTTATTTCTAGCCTTGATCAAATGCAGCCAGACCCCAATTCTTGTGTCTTGCAGATACGTGCTGATCAGATACTATATTTTTCTCCAAATTTTTTTTTTTTTTGGTTAATGAAACTTTATTCATTTCCAAATGTAGAATGTTATGCACAACAAATTCTCAGAGAGACTGAGATTACAAACAAACACCACTGTTTACTAGAAATTACAGTGTGCACATCCACTTCTTATCTTCAGCCGAATAAGGACCATTGAGGATGACAGTTAGTAGGTTGAATTTAATCTCTTTAAACAATTGAGATGCTGTCTTATCTTCCTGTCTGAAGATCCTGAAGTTCCTTTGGCACCAAATGTAATAGATTGTAGTGGTGAGAGCCATTTTCTTAACTTTTTGTTTAAAGCCATTCCCCCTCAAACAATGACAATACCAGTTGATAATCTGATTCCAGCTGGTAGATTGCCATCTAAATTGTAACCAATTCATCACCATGCACCAAACATCCCTTGAGTAGAAGCAATCGAAAAAAAGATGATCTCTGCTCTCTGAACCCGAACACCAGCAACAGGAATTAACACTCACAATATTCCTCTTAAACAGTCTATCTTGTGTGAGTAATCGGTCTTGAACTGCAAGCCAGCTGATAAAAGAATGTTTGGGCATGTTAGAATTAGCCCAAACTGTTTTGTGCCATGAAACAGCTGATACAGTAGGGGAAATGGCAGAATACAGCTTTGAGAGCTGTATTTTTGAGTTCCTGTCACAATTTTGAATAAGATTCTTCAGATTCTCAACTCCACCATAAGTTCTCAATGCTTTATCTCTTACTTTCAAGATGCTTTTCCACATCCATGAATCACTACTTTTTGCTTTGACATGCCAGACATCATTATTGCTTAAGTATGAGCCATGAATCCACTTAATCCAAAGACTTTCCTTATTTATATGAATGAACCAAAGAGTTCTTAGAGCAGCAGCAAGATTCCATAAAGAGGCTGAATAGATGCCAAGTCCACCTTGTTTCCTGCTCAGACATACCTTATCCCAAGATATAAGAGCAATTTTGTGAGTGTGATCAGTTTTGCTCCACAGGAAGCATCTGCACATTTCATCTATTTTCTTAAGAACTTTAATAGGGAGGATATAGTTTGATAACCAGTAGGTTTGGATACACAGAATGATGCTTCTAATAATCTGCAATCTACCAGCATATGTAAGCATTCTGTTCTTCAAGCTGGACTGAAAATGACCTGCTATACTGTTCAAGAGTGAAGAGCAATCACTGAATGATATTCTTTTGGATATTAATGGAACTCCCAAGTATTTGATAGGAAAGACCCCCTCATTAAAGTTTAATAGCCTGTTAACAGATCCTTTAGTGTTATCATCAACTCCACCATAAAAAACTTTGCACTTGTCTGGATTTGCTTCAAGCCCAGACACAGAACAAAAGTCTTTAAAACAATCAAGGAGCAGCTCCACTGAATGAGTATCTCCCTTGGAGAAAAGTAGAAGGTCATCAGCAAACATAAGATGTGATATTTTGAGCTTACCGCAACCTGGATGATACTTAAAAGATCTGTTCTCCTTAAGCAAGTCCAGCCTTCTTGAGAGAAATTCCATACCCAAATTAAATAAGTAAGGAGAGATAGGATCTCCTTGCCTTAGACCCCTCTTGCCTTTGAAATACCCATGAAGAGTACCATTTAATGATAGAGAGAATTTGGGAGTTGAAATGCAAACCTTGATCCAATTGATGAAAATGACAGGAAATCCAAGGCCTTTTAACATCTCGAGTAGGAAATCCCAGTTAACAGTGTCAAAGGCCTTTTTGATATCAATACTCAACATAATTCTAGGAGAGATATGCTTCCTGTTATAATTCTTCACAATCTCATTTGCAAGAAGAATGTTGCTAGAGATTTGTCTTCCTTTAACAAATGCAGACTGACTGTCATTAATTAAGTAGCCCATCACAGATTTGATCCTATTAGCCAGAATTTTTGAAATAATTTTGTAGAGGCTATTGCAACAAGCTATAGGTCTGAAGTCTGATGGGGTCTTGGGACACTTTACTTTTGGAATCAAAGTGATGGCAGTAGAATTTATCATGCCCAGAATTTTGCCTGTTTTAAAGAATTCCAAAATAGCTTCAATTACCTCATCTTCAATAACACACCAAGCTGATTTATAAAAGGATATACCAAATCCATCAGGGCCCGGAGCTTTCCTATCATCCATTGAGAAAACAGCATGTCTAATTTCATCTCTGGTCACAGCTGAAGCTAAGAAATTTATTTGAGCATCATTTAAACATGGACCATTATGAATGATATTAATATCAGGCTTGATTAGAATTGTGCTTGAACCCAATAGTTTCTTGTAATACTCCAGAAGCTCCTGAATGATTAAATCACTATCAGTAATTCTGTTTCCTGCATTATCATAGAGAACACTGATTCTGTTGAGATGCCTTTTAGCTTTGACAGCTGAGTGAAAAAAACTAGAACTCCTGTCCCCTTGAGTACACCATTGAATTCTAGATTTCTGCTGATAGAAAGAAATTTCACATTCCAGCAGCTTGTTGTAAGTGAGCATGTATTTTTTTTCCTGTTCAATCAAGTCAGCATTAAGAGGATCTGATTGTAGATACTTTTGAGCATTCTGCAGATCAAACCTTGCTCTGATAACTTGCTCAGAAATGTTGTGAAAATTTCTCTTATTTAATTCTCTGAGTGCTATTTTCAGGAGTTTCAATTTACTGGTCACTGAAAACATAATACAGCCTGGAATTTTCCCCTGCCAGGTGGAAGTCACAATGGATAAGTAATCATTATGTTTGCTCCACATATTGAAAAATTTGAATGGCTTTTTCCCTTGGACACATTCATCATATATTGACACCAATGCAGGAGAATGATCAGAGCAATTGGGTAGCAAATATTCAACATGGCTAGAGTTATGAAGGTTAATCCAAGCATCATTGACCAGAGTTCTATCAAGTCTACTCCATACTCTGGTGTTTGCCTCTTGTTTGTTGTTCCAAGTAAAGAAACATCCTTCAGTTTTCAAGTGAGTAAGTTGACAGTCATTTATAAATTCCCTGATATCCAGAGTTTCAGCCTCAGTCACCATAGCTCCTCCTAATTTTTCCTCATCATCAGATATAGCATTGAAATCACCACTGAGAATCCAAGGCTTGTTCCCAACTCTATGTTGTATTTGTCTTAATTCAAGCCAAAGAGATTTCCTGTTCTCAATTTGATTATATCCATATATAGAGGAGAGAAAACAGTCTATTCTCCCATCTATGGATTTGACTAGGCAGGTAATATGCTGAGGAGAGAAACTGTCAACTTGGATGTCCAAAAAATTTGGATCCCATAAAATCAGTATTCTAGCTTTGGAAGAATTTATAACATTTGAATGCCATTTCCAATTACAAGCAATTTTCCTTGCTATAATAGGGATTTTGCATTCTTTGATTTTTGTTTCAATGAGAGCCATAAAGGATAAATGGTATTGCTGAATATGGAATTTGACCAAGTGTTGTTTAGAGGACTTATTTAGTCCTCTAATATTCCAGAAAGAGAAATTCATAATCTTGTAGTCCCCCCTATCTATTGAAGAGGGATCATCAGTTAGACTATTGAGATGATAGAAAGAGTTCTCCAATCCTGGAAAGACTTTCAGACCAGTATTTTGCATACCAGACCATGTTTTGGAGGACTGTAAACTTTTGCCTTTATTGGATCCAACAAAACCAAAATCTTGAACATGCACAGCCTGCACAGCTTTACCTGATGGATATTTACTGCTTTCAGTTATGCCTTTATTTTTTCCAGCAGGACATGCCAGGACATTATCCCTACTAGAAAAACCCTCCAGCTCAGTCTCCTGAACATACACATTATATTTAGAAACTGATTCAGTAATGCTCTCAAATGCCCCAGGCAGACAAGTGCCTTCAGCACCAACATTTGCAGTTTGTGCCAGAACATGCACATCATGCACAGACCTGCTAGAGGTTTTGCTTAACTTATTATTCTGCAGAATCTCATCACCTTCAGGCATAGGAAGAGATCCAGCAACAATTGCTGATTGAGCCTGATTATTCTGCAGAATCTCATCACCTTCAGGCATAGGAAGAGATCCAGCAACAATTGCTGATTGAGCCTGAACATGCACAGCATGCACAGGATTTGGCCTTTTGAGTATCTGATCCTCATGCTGACTATGTATATGAATAGACTTGTCAGTAACTCCTACACTAGTCTTAGGTACCCATTTCTGTATCTTAGGGTGCTTTTTACAGAAATTTGTATCATGCCCCACAATTTTGCAACTATCACACCACTTTGGTTTGAATTCATAGATCACTTTTTGATTATATACTTGACCATTTGGTCCATGTATAGGAATTGAGTCTGGAAGAGAGGAGGGCATATGGACTTCAACCAAAACCCTAGCATAAGCCAACCTTTGCTTACTAGCAGTGAGCTTATCAGTAGCAACAGGTTTACCCACATGACTTGCAATTTTGCTTATAGCCTTTGAACTCCACAGATTTAATCTTAACCCTGGCAATTGAATCCATAAAGGATAAACACTTCCATCAATATTATCAATATCATCATCATTGGACCATATTTTCAACAATAGAGGTCTAGAGCCAAAAAACCATGGGCCATTCACAAGTATATCCTCCATTTGCTCTTTACTTTGAAATTTAAACAAGAATAGTCCAGGTTTGAGCAAGCACAAATCTGGTGCAGTCCATTTATTCCAGACTTTGTGAACATAATTTTCCATAGCCTTGTATTTGACATTTAATCCAAGCACTTTACCAATTAGAGAGAATTGCCAGTTAGAATTTCCTTCATTCCATTCCTCCTCACTAAATGATACAAAATCATTATTTTCTGGTTTCACAAAATTTAAGTCCAAACCACAACCAGTTTTTCTCCAAACTTAATCATATATCATTTGACATACATTATGAATCATTTTGTTTTGAATAAAAAAAAACCTAAAACTACTACAACCCAAAAATGACGCAATTAATATCAGCAACTAATTGATAATAATCATAATGTATAAGTATCCATCAAAAGTAAATTTATAATAAATAAAATCTTGAACTATATATCGGTGCGCGAGTATCACGTTTTATTTAGTCGGTACATGCATGGAGGGCGAGCAATTTTTCCCTTGAACGCTGGCATGCATGTGGGTCCAGCTGTGATCCAACTTTCAAGGTCAAAGCTAAGAGTGTCACCACGAAAGGGGTCCAACTATTCACACTCCTAAACAGTAACTTTGGAGGTGTATGAGGACTAAATTGCCCTTCTCTCATCAGACAGTCAATCCTTTTTTTTGGGCATTTTCGGTAATCCCACTCCCAAAATTACTGTTTGGGAGTGGATATAGCAAACGTGCCACGTTATTTATTTCTCTAAAATACCTCTTTATTAGCAAATCTATTCCCTAAATCTTTGAATTTGCAAAACTAATCAACAAATCAACAATTTTGAGAAAACACATTCAATTTTTTGATAGACCAATTTATAACTATACTGTAAACGAATCAACAAAATAGTCAAGCTTTACTCACCTTTATCAAACAAAACTAGTGATTTGTTATTGGAAAATGATAATTGAACTACAAATTCCAAACTACTCTTGTACTACCACTGACAAATATATGAGATCATTTCTTCAAAATTATGAATTATCATGGACCCTTCTTTTTTTGTGTGTGAATACAAAAATAGTATAAGTTGTATAGTACAATTATCAGTGCTTTTTATTAATTATTGGTTACCTGGGCTTTTTTGCCCTTCCCGTGGCTTTGCAAATACTCAGATTTGAGGTAGTTTTAAAAATAGGCATATTTTAAGGGGAAACCCCCATTAATTTCCATGTTTTCTCAACAACAGCTTTCAACCAATCGTAACCATCCATCTCAGTCAATTCACTAAATAAACGGCCGTGATGAACCAAAAAAACAACACAAACTAGTAACAAATAATTCAGCAAAAATATATGATGAAAGTAAAGAGAAGAAGGGAAGAATGGAACCAGAACATAAAGACCCGATGCAATGGCAATCATCCGGTACCGGCCGAGGTAAGAATCGGCGATGAATGCACCGATCAGCGGCAACATCGAGGCAACACCTGACCAAGCATTGATTGCAACCGCTGCAGCTGCCGTCGACTGGTGAAGCCGGCCGGTCAAGTACGTAATCAGATTCAATGATATGCCGTAATACGCAGACCTCTCTGCTATCTCTACTCCTGCATGGCTCAAAAGTAATATTTTATTAATCAAAAGGCATATAGATAACTGTTGACCATGTGGCGCCTTATCTCAAAATACGGAGAGGAGAGAAAATGGATTACCGATGATGAAGAGGGCAGCGGTCCAGCGGCCGGTGTGGACCGGTCGGTCGGAGCGGCGGGCGATATGTCCACACCCTGCATTGAAGAGAGAGAGAGAGAGAGAGAGAGAGAGAGAGAGAGAGAGAGGAGGGGTCGATGTTGGCTTGATTTTATGAAGGGAATTTTGCCTTGCTAATTTATAGATGAATATAGAGATATTCTCCCATACATTTCGCTTGCGAGTAAAGTGTTCTCAAAAAGATGGAGGACATTTTGTTCATTCCAAGTGCTCCCTTAATGATTGAGGATGAGAACATTTCGCCCTCACTCTCAGTGTTCAAAATGGTACTCTTAAGTAGATATCCCTCTATAAGATTTATTTTTCATGAGTTTAGGCACATATACGTTTCTTTTTGGAAGATACTTAGATTTTGACTTTTGAGTTTGAATATTGCAAAGTGGGCGAGAGCAGTTTATCACATGATGCGTGAGGTCATTAATTTCTGGAACGAGATAAATACAATATAAAGGCTTCGTGGAATTTTCCTTCTCTTTCTGGAGGGTGTGAGCATGATGGCTCAGCTAGTACGGCGTCGAGCAGTTCCTTGGGATAGACATATACTGAAGAAGATGGAGCTCAGGTTCAGATTTCGAGCAGACAGGTTAGCGGTTGACCGTGTTTGTGCACATGAGGTACTGGGCGTTTGGATCAGTGGCGGTCGACCACGGCGGTCGACTGCAGAAGTTTCTGTTCTGTGGGCGGTCGACCGCCGTGGTCGACCGCAGAA